GACCATCTATGAATGTGCAAAGAAACATGTTATTTTCTAAGGGCTTGAGAGTAGAGCTCATAACAGGCTGATGTGTACTAAGACCAGACTCATGTTGCTAGATGCCTACTACCTGAGATAATTGTCCTAATATGAGTTATTCTATTAACCACAACACTAAGAATGTAAGTACAAGCTGGCAGGCATAAAAGAGCAAATTCACAGGAAAAAAAGTGATGTTAAGAAAATACAGTGATCGAAACTCAACCTTTGGGAATTTACACTTTGGATTAAGAAACTCAGCATATGGAATACCAAACTCCACACTTGTGCTTTTATGAATTTCAGTAAGCGTATCACTGGTGTATTAATGTGAATTCGATGTGTACTTTGAGAAGATCGGTAATGAAATCTAGTAGTGGACTCTTCTCCAGGGATTTTCTCTGGGGCTGGATTTTACTGGACATTGTTTTGGGTGCTTAGAAAGCGAATTCGATGAGCCCTGGGCCTCAAAAAGTCTATTGTGTATTATATAGCTTCTAGCAGTGGACAATGAAGGCATACGCCTTTCAGACCAGAGCAAAATAACTTATGGCATATACTCTATGCAGGTCTGGATGGTATGGCCAACACTAGTTTTCAGAGGAGCATCAGTAAAGCTGGAATAGTCACTGGTGGATTAGGATAGTTGTCAAGGTCTCAGGTTTTATGTGTAACAGATTTGAATCTCTGCTCAGCCACTCAGAAGCTATGTATACTCTTAGAAAACTAGCTGACTTGTCTGAGTCTTCATTTCTTCATTTGCCAAATGGTGTTATGAAGAATAGCTTCAGAGAGGCTCTGCGTGAAGACTGGATGTTCATCTGTCACCTTCTCTGCCATTGCTACCCCATCATTGCTAAGTTCAGTCTCTGGGGGTGTGGGACATATTGTAAGTGGTTTCTCCAAAGAAGAATTGTGTAAGGAGATAGTGAAGAAAGAGCTCACCATCTTGCCTCTAGGCTCATGAGGATTGCCTAAACTTGAACTGAAAAGAGCTCTCGAATATCACAGGGAAAGAAGATTGGCTAGAGTGTACTAGCCAGAGGATGAAGGCATCATGGGTAACCTTTGTAGAACCCTGAAGCTCAATTCCTGGAGGGTAGCAAGTCTTCAAAGTAGCTGGACAATGATACTCAAAGATGATGATTATGGCCACAAGTAGCTTAGAAATTGCTCACCACCTGATTGGATTAAAATATAGGAAAAAAACAAAACAAAACAAAACCCTGGACCTCTCTTTGCAGCCCATCCAGCTGTTGTGATCCCAAATCATAAACTAAGCTCATGGCAATTACACTTGAACTTTCTTGGAACCCCACCATTCTTTGAGTCTAGAATTCTTCTGTTACCTCCCAGTAGGTTTAGTAATGTGGTCCCTTCCCACTCCAAAGCCCCCATTTATACAACCGTAACTTTGAGAACACTGAAGGACAAGAGATGACACGTTGTTATTGTAAGAGAAAAACAGATCAATGTGAAGTTGTCTTTAAGAACAAACACACTGTTTCTTTAAAACTTCAGGGCCATACAGAGAAAAATCATGTCTGAGTCAGAATTTTGGTTGGAGGACAAGCATTAAAGTCTTTAGAGAAGACTCTAGAGATTTCCAATATTTAGGATACTCATGGATGTCTTTTTTATTCTCCAATGGGACTTTGTTTTGAAATCCAAGTATAGGATTAATTATCTTGGAAGACTCTAATCTCTACTCTCATGTTTAAAAATACGAGTAGGGGGATATTTTATCATTAAGAAAGGAAGAGAAAATCTCTCTGACAAATGAATGCCTTGAAAAATTGAATATTAGTACTAGCCAAGTACCTTTTCTTTTGAGAAACATTGAAATTGAATATTAGAATTGAAGGCTCTGTCTACCATACTCCCACTTGATGCCACCAAAATAGGACTTAAGGAATAATTTCCAAGACAAAATACTATATGAAATATCCAGTTTTTTTTCCCTAGTGGGAAATTTCTTTCTTAAAAACATCTTAGGCTCAATCACTTCCTAATGTAAAGTTACAGATTTTTCAAATTACCATATAAAACTGCAAAAAAATTACACTTGTGGCCACAGAAGAGACAGCATACACTATCAATTTGATTTTAAAAGACATCCATCTCTTATACTACCTGTCATTTTTATAATGCCTTTTACAAATTTAATCAATACATTTTAACATTCTATATACTTTAAGTGCAATATACAATAAATATTCAAGTTTCATCTTAAACATGCTTTAGCCTTTAAATTGTTAAAACTGCAGTGCCCTTTCAATCTCCTTACATAATGTCATAAAATATACATTTCAAGGTAAATGAAGTCAGCTACTTCAATTTAGTCCCTCAAACTGGTAGTAAATGAGAGGTTAACACTATGGTGCCAAACCCATTATTGAGTAAATTTAGCACCTTGGACAGCTCTGTAAAATCTTTATTGCTTTCCTGACCTGCTCGTCATGTTCTGTCTCTGTGTTCAGTGGCTCTCAGCTCTGATTGAAAGGCAATATATTAGATCCCCAACACAAACACGCTTGGGGGCTAGTTCACTGGGAACGTAATGACATGGAGGTGAGAGCAATTTTCTGGTCACCGAAATCCGAGCCCCTTGCAGGTCTGTGGCACTAACTCACGGAGGGCCCGAGAATGTCTTTCTTCCTTCCTATTTGCACAAATAACTAACAGAAGCCTAATCACATTGGCAGGGCTAAGCCAAATATGGGTCTCCCTAAAACCCCTAGTTTGTCACTGCAGTGAAGGACATTTTTAGATGAGTGAGTTATCATTTAAGGACATAGTTTTCTGGACAAGAAATCAGGCTCATTCTCCCTGAAATTCAGATGATGGCTTGAAGTGATATTATGCTGTTACCATGCCTGTGACCATGTGCTGGGCTGGAAGAACAAGCTGCACCATCATGAATCAAAAACAGTGAAACCAAGGATTAAAAGGATCCATTGTCAGACTGGGAGCAGGGAGAGAAATCTATGTGCTTCATATTCAGATGGTTAAATGGTAACCAGCTTCTGATACCGAAAAAAAGCTATCAGGTAGGGCATTGCACTGAAACACTTGGTCATCAAAAAATGCAGATTTTCAGATTTATAAGATCTTCTAAGATTTTGGCATTCCTTCTGAACTCCCCGATTTTGTGCAATTAATGGAAATAAGAAGGGTGGCGACAACCTCCACTTACAGTGTCACAGACCTGAAAAGCATCACTTTCTTTATGGACTACATCATGAGCTTGACAAACAAGAGATCTGTATTTTTTTTTTCTTCAAAAAAAAAATGTGAAGAGAAATGCCTTCCTAGTAGAGCCCAAACATCGCCATAAATACCCGTTTGGAGATAGATACATGTGACCATAGACCCAGAGATGGTGAATCTTTTAATAAATGAATTAAGTCAATACTGTTTTGTTTTAGTCTTTCCCCAGAGCCAGGAAAAGCCACAGGGTTTTGGTGGAAGCAGCACTAGCTTAGCTGAATTTGAGCTGGGGATAGGGTTTAGTGTGCCTGTGCCCTGGTCAATTATTAACTGCCGTGGACAGATACTCCTGCAAACAAAAGGTGGTGAATTATCTTATAGCTTGCATTAAAAAGTCAAGAATTCATTTTCGATACATTGGCTCCAATTCCATTGATTATATTGCACATTTCTATCCCCTACATGAAAAAAATGACTGAGTTGTTTTTAGAAAGGGGAGGGTGCTTCTTAAGGCAAGCATCAATGTTTATCAAGAATTGGAAACTCCTCCTCTATCTCATTTTGAAATTAAGATATTATATATGTGGTAAGTAGTTACTTCGGTATGACAACTGTTTTATCTTATATTGTGGAGAATTTCAAATTGAAAAATGCTAATATATATCTAAAAGCTTGTCATTTAAAGAGTTGTTCGAGGATTTTTGAAGAGGCCACAGCGACAGCGAAATGAATGCAATTATAGCCCTATTTTCTGATCAGTGTCTGGAGTGAATGAAAATTGAACAGCAGTGCCTTCCCATTTGGGTTCTGAGGCATCTGATTTTCAAGCTGTACTTCCATTTGCACCTTTACCCACACTGGACTACAGTAAACAGATCTTCTGATAAGTCACCTTTCTGCCTCGCATTCTTGGATATGGTTCTTTGCTGACCTCCCATCTCAAGAACAACTTACACATGTCCAGATGTGAGTTTTTGTAGAATGTCCCCATTGACTGGACCCATGCAAGCCAATGTGGAAGGCTAGCTTAGTAAGAAGAGGTAGTCACTTTTTCTTCAACTTTAATGAATATTAAAGAATAGACTTAGAAGAATGGGCGAGCGAGAGAGAAGAAACACAAACACTGCAGAAACAGCAAAGACTTTCAGTATAAGAAATCAAGGCTATGACTCATGGGCACAGCGGGAGCTTCTAGAGACAACAGAATCCTGGTGCAAGGGTCTTTGATCAACATCATATTCCTTCCACATGTGAGCTTCCTGTGTCTCTGCCACATAAGACAGACAAACAAAAGAAGCTTAAGGCTACATGCTTCTTTAGTGGCTGAAGATTGATTGATTGGAAATTCCTTGAAAATGACCTATCTGATAAGGTCAGCGTTTCTGGAATAAGCAATTAAGTACAAAATAAACACATTTTAGGGATTCATACCATGTGCTGAATGACATTGATTATAGCAATCTAGTAAATGACCATGCAATTGTATTCGGCAATAAACATATGAGAGTGCTTTACATGCCTGTGGCAGATGATTGAGTGATATGTTTTATCTTGCAGTACCATTGATGTTCGGCTCTCGGCTCAATTAAGTGTGCATGTGAACAATGATGAATTGGTGACTTAATACCATTTTAGGGGGTCCCCAAGCTACTGCTTTACAACTGTCTCTTGGCAAAGGATGGCCAGAAGGATGATGATGCTGTCATGTGAAAGATAAGGACACTTGCTATCCTTCAGAAGCCTACAATCTATTTTTGTTTTCTTGACAGGAAGTGATCCTTAAAAGAGCTGCGGATCTGGTTGAAGCCCTGTATGGGATGCCCCACAACAACCAGGTGAGTGTTCCAGGTCTCTAGCTTAATGAAATGCTTGCTCATTCAATTAAAACAAACAAACAAACAAACCTCAGAGTCCTTACTCTGTGAGAAAGCATTTTTTAAAACAGCCTTTGAAAGCAATAATCATGTGTTAAGAACCTAAGGATCTGAGATGTGACATGTCACAGGGCTGTTCAGACTTTCTTGCTTTTGCAAAACTTCTATTTCTTTTTCTATTGAATCATTTGCCTTTCTGGAGAAGTGCTCCATTTAAGAATGAATCTTGACTGGAAAGGAAGGATTTAATTTCTTCTCCTAAAATATACAATGAGGCCCCAATAATGTACTATTCATGCTTCATGAGCAATGATACGCAAGGAACGGAAGGGACTACAGTTGACCCCTTAAGGCTCTGAGCATAGAATATGTCAGAGGAAGCACAAAAAGGCTATTGGGAAGTATGAGTTGGGGTAGCTAACAAAGATGTGCCTTTGACTTTTCAGGAGATTATCCTGAAGAGAGCTGCCGACATTGCAGAGGCTCTGTACAGTGTCCCTCGAAACCACAACCAGCTCCCAGCCCTTGCTAACACTTCAGTCCATGCGGGGATGATGGGTGTGAACTCCTTCAGTGGACAACTGGCTGTGAATGTCTCCGAGGCATCACAAGCCACCAACCAAGGTCAGAAGCCTGCTGTTTCCCTGTCTTCCATTTCCCCTGCCCCTTGACAAAGGCAAGCTCTTGCCCCTCCCACCATTAAAAAAAAGAAGAGAAAGAAAAAAGAAAGAAAAGAAAAAAATCAATTATTTTCTTCTAAAAGCAGAGATTCTTCACTTGTGTGTATCAAATGTTATTATAGGATTTTGTTTCTAGTTTCACATCTGGAGACCTAGTAGGGGGCTAGAAAGAATGCATGCATGCATTCAGCCATCTCTACATCCAACTTTTCACCATAAATCATGAGTGACAGATCACAAAGAGGGATGGAATTAAAGTTCTCATAGGCCACAACACATCATTCTTGCCCAGAGAAGAGGGACCTGTTAACTCGGGGGAACATCTCTTAGATTGGGATTTATTCCCACTCCCAAATGATAATTTATAGGCCCTGCATTGCCACTTCTCACAGGCCTGCTAAGTATTTATGATCTCCTAAGAAATGTGTCTTTGCTAGCTTCCCATTTTAATCACAGAGATAGCACGACCAGCCCATGCCCATGAATCATCAGTTCTTTTCCCTCTCGGTTGCAGTGAGGGGGCAATAATGGAGATGTTCCTCCCTTATACCTCAGGTCTCCCAGGAGTGCACCATCTGAATGCCACCCTCACCCCTGGTTTGTCCCCTCACTTTTCAGGTTTCACCCGCAACTCAAGCAGTGTGTCACCACATGGCTATGTGCCGAGCACCACCCCACAGCAGACCAACTATAACTCTGTCACCACAAGCATGAACGGCTACGGCTCTGCCGCCATGTCCAATTTGGGCGGCTCCCCAACCTTCCTCAATGGCTCAGCTGCCAACTCACCCTATGCCAGTAAGTAGATATATGTCTCAAGTCTTGTATGTTTCCTTTGTAGAGCTTAGTATCATACAGAGAGGCCAGTTGGGCATGACTGTTTGGTTTGAGCCCCGATGCCCCTTCCAAGCTGCTACCCTCAATATCTGAGCACCATCCCTCTAGCAGAGATCTCTGTAGTCTCACCTTGGACAAGACCAATGGCCATTCCAAGAACCCATGCTTGTGATCAGATGGCAATGGGGTTACCACCCACTTGTAGTAGTTATTTGAAAGCCCCTGAGTAAGGTCATGTCCTCTCATCATTCCCATCCTGAAGAGGAGAAGTATCTGAACCATATCTTCACCTGTACTGGTGGATTTGGGATAAGATGGTATTTGCCAGAGTCTGGTCCTCATGCCTGGCACAGGAAAGAGGTATTTGGAAATCTAAGTCATTATCCTGATGCTGCAACAATAGATCCCTTCTTTAAATAATAGAACTTGTTTGCGGATATTTCTGTTTCCCTTTTTGTGCATAATATACTCATAAAAATAGAAAAACAGATTTAAACATATATTGTTTCACAAAAATCTGGCAAGATGAAACACCCCTACACACCACACACACACACACACGCACACGCACACGCACACGCACACAAGGGGAGAGAGAGAGGGAAACAGAGAGAAAGAGAAAGGGGGGAAGGAGGGAAAGGGAGAGGGAGGAAGAGAGGAAGAATATGAATATTCCTAGGTGCTCTATTCCTACCCTAAGGAAGTTTAGCATAAAGGATTTGTTTGGACACAACACTTCAATTGTATCTAAAGAATGCAGCAAATTGGCATCTTTATATAGAAATACATACATCTAAAGAGCCTAGCAAACTGGCATTTCTCTCTATAAAATGTCACAGGCTCTTTCCCCATAACCTCTTGCTCTCCCTCTGAGGACCTTTCCATAGATGGCCAAGTTCACCTGGAACATGGTGGTGAGTTCTTCAGATGTAGAAAATGTGGCTAGATGCGTAGACATTTGTGGAGGAACAAAAGTGTGTGGCTAAATGAAAGAATATTCATGAATCTTAGCTCCAAGTATAGAAAACAAAGCTGGCTCCTTGCTGAGTGTGGTTTGTGGCTAACAACTTGAAGGTGGCAGGTCATCCTGGCCCTGAGTTATATCTGAGAGAATTCTCTGCTCGGGATGTACTCTATTTTTATTTCTACCTTATTCACCATTTGTAGAAGATTTAATATTTGCCAGATCATCTGCACGTACCAAGTCAGTTTACCAGCCAGCACCGGGAGCAGTTTCACATTGGGTTTTGATTTATTGGGTTTTGATTTATTGAAGATCTATCCCTCAACATTCTCCCAGCTACTCAGTCAGAAAATGTTTCCATCATGACCTGAAAATTAAAAGGTGGCATTCTTAATTAAATCAATAAGCTAATTGCTATATGGTAGCGATTCAATTTAGGGGCTGGGGTTGTTCACCTTCCCCAACCTGTGAGGACGCCCAGTGCCTTCTGCCTGAGATCACATCTGTCAGTCTGAGAAACTTTGAACATTTAATTTCCATTAATTGATTTCCTCAGTGCTCACAAATCCAGTATTAAATTTCCAAATAGGCCCTCAGATGGGATGGTTTTTATCTGCATAAATGCAAATAAAACAATAAACACAGAGCCCAGCTGATTTGAATAGTTGCCTCTGTAATACTTAATTATTCATAAACCACTCATGTTGAAAAATTCCGACAAAATAAAAAAAATAAAATAAGACATTCTATGGGTGAACACATTTTGCGGCATGGCTGCTGGTAACTAATAATGTCGTAACAAATGGCAGTGCTCCACTATATTTTACCCCTTTCTTGTTAACTGCCCCCCCAAGCCCCCCACCTCTAAATACACATAATGATCGCATTTGCCAACGAGATTAATTGCCTTCCTTGGTGAGCCAGCAGGATTTCAAGTCTAAGAATATTTAAAAATCAAACCTCCAGTGCAGGAATTTTGCAATTTAAATGGGTATTATTATTGAGCACATTCCCACATTTACAAATCCTAAGAGATGGATAAAAATGCTGGTCTCATTAAAAGAAAAAAGTACAGTCTAGCAGATGTTGGGGAGAACGCTGAGGTGTGGATGAGACCTTTCTATTCTCCTCCAGTAAGCACTGTGTCCATTTGAACCCATGCTGACTCGGTCTGATGATAGAGTCATTTCCTTCCGATGACTGATTTGGTCCTCAGATCACCAACTTTCTAAAGCTAAGAGACCAAGCACCAGCCAGGTCCTAACTGCTCTTCTGACCTGGTGGCCCTTTTCCTCTGTGGATGATTGCTTTGCAGGGGATGCAGTGGAAAGAGTACTATGTATATGTTGTATTCACTACAACCCAGTTGTGGCCCTTCGGCTATTCTCTCAACTACTTCTTCAGTTCCAATTTGTTTACTGGTTAAAACACACACACACACAAAAATGTTATATGCCCCTGGCCTTATGTTATTCTGTCAACTGACATGAAAAGATGTGAAGAATCCTGTGCATCACAAAGAAATATGTGATGTTTATTAAGTGACATAAACAATATAGTACCCAGGAGTATCTAGGATGTAGAAGCAAAGGAACAGTGTGTATGGAAACATTAGCCTTGACACTGTGTGCAAAGCCTCTGTCTTCTGAAGTAACTAGGCCGGCCAAAGTTTTCTCAGCACGGATTATCTAAGTCCCCACTACTGCCAGACAAGTCAGAGCCCCCTGCTCATCTCCAAACAGTGGTAGAAAGCTCCATGGGAAGTGAGAATAGAGAATTTAGAACCTGGATTTATAGTTATGTGGTTTCCAATGATGCTGCATGTAGTGGTTTTCTTGTTTACCTGGCTTTCTACCTACTGGAGTCTGTGGTAGAGCATCCAGGCCCAGCCATATCCAGACCTTATAATCTCTTGAAGAGGAAGGAGGTTTATGTACACCGCCACCTGCCTGAGCCTAAAGTCATGGTGCTGGCTGGCTTTTCCTTTGATTCCCCTTTTATTTACATGTCCAATTCCTTCATTGGTGATCACATCCACTCAAACAAGCCTCTCCCTGTCTCCTCCGTCCCCACATGCTATGTTAGCACCTTATTTAAGCCAGAGAGAGCAACCCTTTATAAAGTCCTCTCCTGTCACTTCTGTCTCTCTAGAGATGACTGCCTTTACCCTGATCCCTCCTGTGCTGTGCTATCCCTGATAAGAAAGGATTAGGCTTTTGTCTTCTTGACTGAAAAAAGGATGGAGGCTCTGTATTTCTTTCCACAACATGCTCCGTGTGTTGGGATCTATTAGTCTGAATGAAAGAGGTTATCACTGCACCCCTGGAAATCTCCCCTGCCATGCCACTAGTGACTAGCATATTATGGGGCATGCAATAAGCCCACAGTAAAATCATGAAGGTCACTAACTTGAAGGTAGCACTTACTAAGTACCAAGTGATGAAATTAGGGGTGGTGGGATCCTGAGAGTTTAGGGAGGGCCTTGCCCAAGAGTGGTCAACAGTAGAGTAGCCAGGTTAGATCTCTGCAAGCCTCCTCATGTGTAGCTGTAACTCTCCTCTCTCATCGTAACCTTCAGTTGTGCCATCCAGTCCCACCATGGCCTCATCTACAAGCCTCCCCTCCAACTGCAGCAGCTCCTCGGGCATCTTCTCCTTCTCACCAGCCAACATGGTCTCTGCCGTGAAACAGAAGAGTGCTTTCGCACCAGTTGTCAGACCCCAGACCTCCCCGCCTCCCACCTGCACCAGCACCAACGGGAACAGCCTGCAAGGTAAGTTCCAGAGATCTGAAGCAGGTGTCTCACTGTTGCTGTGAGTGGGGGGGTGCAGATGGGAATTAGCCCCTGGGGTCTACCAGCTTCTCTCTGTCCCAGCTCCTCTTTGCCTTCGTGTTGATAGTCTCCGGTCTCAGCTGTTAGGACTGTTCATGCCTCCTCTGTGTCTGTAGCATCCTCCTTCCTGCTCCAGGAACTCTGCTCCAGCTCAGGACTTGCTAGAGAACACTGTAGGCATTTACTAATGCCACCATTTCTCTTTTGTTCCTCTCCATTCTTTGTTGTCACCTTTATCTGACCGTTGTTTTATAGATACTATCATGTTCTTCATGACAGAGTCTCTCCTGGGACAGGCCTTCCCCTGAAGTAGGTCACTCAGCCCTCTCTTCTTGTAGCTTGTATCAGGATGAGGCTGTGTAAAGATGTGGCAGAGAGGGGGACAGCTGCAGTTCATTGAGAGCCCAAGGTTAAGGGACAAGTATAACAAACATCAAAGACCTCTTGAGAACCACTGGAATATTCCAGTTCATATTAAAGCTGTAGAGTCTCCCTTCCACCATGAAGTATGGGAAGTGTTGGGACCATCAGGTTTTGAGCTGACCTTTTTCATTCATTGAGGGAAGAAAAAAAAATGTAAAACGTGCCGACTTTTTCCTTACATTCTTCTCATGTGCTCGGCTCCATGAATGGTATCAGGCCTCTGGGACCTCATGTGTCCCCCACAGTAGGATGATGACACAGATGTTCACAATCCCTACCTTACAGATAAGAAAACTCAAAGTGGAGGGAGGTTGCAATGTTGCTTGACTCCTCCCAACTGGTGTGTGAAAGTCATTGACATCAAAAGCAGGCCAAAAAAAATTCATCTCTTCCTAGAACCTAACACTTCCCAAGAATGTATCCCAGATTCCCAAGACAGCTTGCAGGGAAATAAGATCAATAAAATAATCAACCACCATCTAGTGAGCACCAAACTGTATGCCAGGTGCTCCACTAAGCACAGAGCAGGCTTTATCTATTTAATCCCTACAATGTCTTGATGACGTATGGGGACCATTAGATCAGTACAGTACCTGGTGATCGAGCTTAGGGAGAGTAAATACAGGTCACAGACATCAGGCAGGCGGTGGAGGTGAATGAAAGCCACAGGATTCTGCCCATAATCCCTGCCCGGCACCACTCAAAGCCTGGCTTCTGTGCCCAGTAGATCACTCATAGAGGGCAACTGTGGAGACCAGAGAATGGTCAGAAGGGCAGAGACACACCTGGGATTTCCCAGCTTTATTTCTCATGTGGAAGTGTATGCCCCGTTTAACATATAGACACATATTACGTTCTGGGTACTTTCTGCTGAAGTAAGTACACTCTGGTTCCCCCAAGACCTTCAGAGCTCAGTACTCCCCTTAATGTATAGAAAGGTACAGTCAAGCTTAGGTCACTTAAGGGGCATAGTCAAGACACGTTGAAGTCAAGATTGAACCTCAGTGGTACAACCCCAGAGACTGAGCAACCACATCCTTCTGCCTCTCTACCTCTGGCAGAATTTTTAAGAACATTCCTGAGAACCTGTGGATAGATTGCTTGGCATAGCAAAGTCAGTGCCTAGAATAACTTGCCATCAATAAGACATACACTTACTAGTCTATCATCTTAAAGAAAGGTGGGAAGTATTTTACTCTGGAAATACATCTCAGGCCAGGTAGACTGGTTTTGTACAGAGATCTCTTGCATGGATCTTTGAGTGTCCATTGGGTAATGGGACCTTCTGACAGTGGCCTTTCAGACACTTCTCACCTCATTTTTTAGTTTTGACCCTCCTCCTTTCCCACTGAACAGACTTCCATGGGCCCTTGAGATGGGTCAAGGGTCTCAGCATTGTTCTGTGCTTCCTCTGCCTGCTCCACCTATAGTAGGACATTTCACTTTGACTCACCCAGTTCAGAACATTGATCATTTATTCAGACAGGACAAGTGTCCAGTGAAGAGTTGGACAAGCAAATTGACCATGTAAACAAGACTAGATGTGACACATTTAGACCATTTACATTTTTTAAGGGCCTATTTACCTCTGACTATCACTGTTAATTGAATGTCCTCCATTTTGTTAAAGCCTGATCCTTCACCACCCCTTTGCCAGCAGGAGATCGTCACCATGACTTGGTGTGCGGGTGAGAATGGAGAGTCACACCAGCTTGCTCCCAGCCTGGCTTATGCCCTGACACAAGGCTCCCTCCCTGCTGCTCTTTGAGGTGTCTGCTTATTCCATCCACTTACAGATCAGGACATGGAGACAGGGAGCTGAGATAGCTGGTCCACAGACACTGGATTAGCAGATAGAGGAACCTTAAGCATTCCCTCAACTTTTCAGCCTCCAGGTTGCTTTGCCATATTATAGTTGAGCCACCAGGTTACATCCATGTAGAGGAACAAGGTCTAACAACTTTGAAAGCAACTTCCCTATATTGGGAAAGACACAATACCCAGGTTAGTGAGACAGATCTACCCAAGAGAGGCTGGCTCCCAGCTATGGACTATAGAGGGAAGTAGCATGAAGCAGAGTCAGGTCATTTCATAGGCTAGCTGCCTTTGAACTGCTTCTCTGATGAAAAGTAACTAGGTATTCCAGCCCAGAGAGAGTATTGTTTTAAGATGAGAAGTGCCTGTACCAAGAGCATTCCTATAAGCAATGTGTTACTGCATCTGTTACCTGGGAGATTTGTCACTTCTTTATAAGGAAAGTGAGTTCTCTCTACTAGCAAATCTGAAACATTTGGTTGGTTGCTGTCAGTTGGACTCCTGTGCTATTAGAAGTTACCTGTCCTCCTATTTACCTGTCCACTGTACCCATTGGCCATCATTTTGCCATTCCTCTCTACCCTGCTTCCCAGCTATGGCAATCAGCATCCTAGTCTTTGCTTCTGTGAGATTAGCTTTATAGCTTGTATGTCTAAGTGAGGATGGTGGTACCTGTCTTTCTGAGTCCAACTCATTCCTCTTAATATAAGGCCCATCCTCATGATGCTGATCTGTGATTGGCCAATGTGCAGATGCTAAGTCCACGGATAAGCAGAGCCAACTGTCCATCTTGCTTGCTAAAGGCATTTGCCTGCAGAGCTCTTTCCCACGTACTCAGGCCAATTAATGCCATGTGTAAAACTCTGGAAACTGCAGCTACCCTCTGGATTGACTGATAAACATGTAGAAAGGGCTCCACCCATTCTTATCACGATGAAGTCATCGATAACTCTTAACCATAGACTCCCAAGTAAGTCTGTCTTTGTAGCTCAAAGGCTAGAGTCATCAGCTTTATTCAACCCTTGTCCATGGGAACAAATGTCTTTTTCCTTCTAAAACAGTTGTCCCGAAGAGCCTGAGTCCTACATGAGGACTTCAGAGTCGGGACAGAACAATCACATGCCACCAAAATGTCCACTAACTAAGATAAGAAGATCAGGGAGATTTTGTGAAGTAGTAGTCATGGCAACCCTCCTCCCCCTATATCTTATTGACATTTGGGCTTTTCTTGACCCTAAATATTATGCACCATAGTATCAACTCTTACAGAACCTCCCCCCCCCTTCAGTTTGCAGAAGGTCTTGCCTCACTGCACACCTAATGAGCCCATAATATTTATACCTGGGGTAGTTTGGGGAAAGACTACATCCTTAGTCTCTCCCAACTCTGTGGAGCTTTCAGCCAGTGTCTTAGTTCTTGTCAAAATGGGAACCTTTAAGATGGATTAAATTGCCTTTCAACATAATGAGTTTTGGGGTTCCCCTCAGAAAACATGATCACCCAGACACTGGGGACCATGGCAGAGCCACTGTGGTCTTGTGATGATGTCTTGGCACAGAGCCTTGGGAATGTGTTGTCTCATGGGAATCAGCCTGGGCTCTACTTAAGCAAGTCAGCATTCCAGCAGCAGTTTTGGGACATTCCAGGCCTCCGATACCCATCCCTCTCACCCACATAATTCATTTTCAGATTGCAGCACAGATAGAAAAACAGCTTCTAGACCCAGGATTGTCATGTAGTCACGCAGTGAGGTTTCTTTATTGGGAGGGCCTCTTTTGAGGTGCCTAGACTCAGGCAACAAAGGGCTAGCATTTTTGTTGAGTAAGAAAAGTGTAGGGTGCAGTCACTCTTTACAGAAACTTGTAAATAAGTAACTGCAGGCCTTGTGTAAAGGGCAATAGACCTTGTGTTAGACTTATACTCTGTAGGCTGGCCTAGAAGAGTTGGCAGAGTCGGGACAAGCCATGCCATCCCATGGTGCCCTTTAAGTATATTTGATCTTAACACCAGCTGTTTATAAACATTTATAAGCAGAGAAATCATGTTTGAAAATGTCTACTACTCTAAATTCTCTTCAGAGAAGTCAGAAACCTGGTTGAGCCAGCATCCCGGGATAGTACAAGCCCTCTGCAGAAGGCATGCCTTCTGCCACATCCCCTTCATTCCCATCCAGGAGACTGCTCACTCAAGTGTCAGCTGAGTCTCCCAAGGCTATGAGGTTTACAAGTATCAAACCAAGAAGTGTACCGGCTGCTCACTAGTGAATTTGGTGGGGAACTTTTAATGAAAGCCTATGAGGAAGCTTAATCTAATCAATCAAAGAAATTATTTGAGTAACAAGACACTATTTTAAATTTTTTTTTAAATTCATGCTATCCTCATAGGATATTTTCATAGGACCCAGATGGTAAGTGTCCATCTAGGCTGTGGTGGACACATCTAAGAATCCACGGGCTAAAACAGCAGGTTTGTCAGCTCTCTGCTTCACTTTAGATCTTATTGACACTTCCTGAGCTGTCTATCCCAGGACAGGACAGAGCCTGTCCTTCTACACCAGGAACATAGTTTTATTTATTTATTTATTTATTTATTTATTTATTTATTTATTTATTTATTTTTCTGTAGAAAGGAAGAGAGACTTGCTTCATTGGCTACCAGCTTTACCTTCCTGCTATCTGGGTTTTGCATCCTGCTATTTATAATAAGGGTAGAGGATGCACCTGGCACATGCTTAGGGACCCAAAGTCACACTGAGTCAGCACACTGAGGTCCCCCCCACCCCCCAGCCACCAATCCTTATACAGGAGACTGCAGCATCTGGAATTCTCAAGTTAAGGCCCAGGGTTTAAATACTAAGCCCCTGAAACACCCCCCTGCCCCCCCCCCAGTTCAGTGAAATCTAGGGCTCACTCAGCTCTTAAGGGGACTGCTTTTCCAACTGATCCCAAATCTTGGGTGGTGGGGGTGGGGGGCTTAAGTCAGGCTGCATTTGGCAAAAGACGACTTCCTGTTTCTAAGAAAGAAAGGCTTATGAGGGTTTAGGAAAGGACTCCAGGAGCTTTTGGACTGCAAAAGGGCTCTTGCAAAACAACATTTGGATGATTTACGTGTAAATGAATCAGAAACATGTGGATTGAATTTCCTTGCGAATACAGATGGGTTTAAAAATTAACGGAAAAAGTGTTTGGCAAAATACTTTTGGGTTTTTCTTTTAATTGAATCTAAAATGTCAGGGGTTGGGGTAGAGAAGCCAGAGTAATGAATGTGGGGGCACATGGCCTGGCCTCCTTCTGTCCATCTGTGCTAATGGGGTTCCTTTATTTTTAAAGGTACATCTTCCACACATGATGGTTTAGACAAAGGAAGGAAGGGAAGGAGGTCCGCTTTTCCCGTGCACGCATTAATCACTAACAAGAATATTCACTTAAGTTTAGATTTGTCAATAAAAAGGAAAGAAAAGGCTTTTCTTTTTTTCTTTCCGTGTTATCATTGGTAGCCAAAGACAGCCATGTCTTTGGTTTTACACAGACATCTCTCTAGTCTTGGTATATTTTCAAGCTACCAGGATGTCTTTCCTACAGCAAACCCCTATTTTCCACACCCTTTATTTTAAGTGTGCCCTATGGAGTGGTATCTGTTTGATGTAGGGGCAAACACAGACCAGAGAAGTTTTAACAGTGCTTTCAGCTAGATCCAAGAAGTAGGAATGGTTGGTTCACAGGCAGAGGTAACCTGCCTTGGAGTTACACCCAGGCTCTCTACGTCTGTTTAAATGTCCACTAACTCTTGAGTGCTGCAGTTCATTTCATGTTCCAGCCAAGGAGGTGGAGGGTCAGGCAGACACTTAGCCATCTCAGGGGAATGCACTCCCAAGTGGGCAGGCATGTGGCAGAATTTTCTAAACACTGCTATCCAGCTCCTAACTCCAAACTCTAAAATAAAAATTGGGTTGACTCAAAACAGGTCTTCCCTTCAAAGGCTACATTTATTTATTTATTTATTTATTTATTTATTTATTTATTATTAATTATTATTGGCGGCAATGCTCAGATCATTCCAGAAATCCTGAAAGTAGAAAAGGCATTCTACAGTTTCAGGCAAATATGCTCTCTCCTCCAACCCCATGCTTTCTCCGGACTTCACTCTCCCTGTGAACAATGCCTGCTGTGGCTGGCATATCCTTTTCCAGCTAGCACTGAAGGGAAGGCCCTCAGATGGTTGCTCTGTTGCTTAATTTTCATGCTAATACAGAACATAAGGAGAGACTGTTTGCAGAAATTGTTGGCAGTGACAGCGGGCCATTTCTTTATTTTATATTTCGTATGTGATGTGTGTGTGTGTGGGGGTAGAATGACAAACTGAAAATTCTCACTATTTTGCAAAGTCTGAGGCTGCAACTTTCCCAATGGTATTCAAGCTATGCAACTTTCCAGCTATGTCTTAAAATTGAAGTCAGATTTGGAGGAATGTTTAGGATACCCTGTTAGAGACACATATACATGTATATAATTTTTAATAAGGTACATGTATATTTTATGACACAATTCATTCCTGGGAAGATGCAGGGACATCTGGTTAATATTCAATTACCATTGTCATGTGTGGGTTGGTTTTTTTTTTTTTTAATTATTGTGTCTCTCCTCCCTCGTGAAATGTTTGGATGCAAAACCGTTGACTTCTGTCTTTTCTCTCCGTAGCGATATCTGGCATGATTGTCCCTCCCATGTGAAAGAATTGCCTTGAAGAATTTTATTAATGAAGAGGTTGGATTCTGCTACGAAAGTAATCTGACATGAGTCCCAGAGTGGAACTTTTAACTCAGGCCTTTTTAAGAGGAATTACACAATAACTGCAGATTTTTAAACAAAATCACCGACCTTGCAAATACTGAAATTGGAAAGGGGATCTGCCAGAGCAGGGTGTTGGTTAAAGTTGTACCCCCCAAGTATCTGGGGGATATATTTATTCTGTATTGATAAAAAGCAAACCCACATTTTCTTTTTCTTTCTTTCTCTTTTTTTTTTCTTAAGCTTAACTCTGCAACCATTTGTCTTTTATAAACCATTAAGCTACACCCAAGGGCCACTATAAATAAGACTCCATGTTTTAATTTATGATGTTTTTAAAGCTATGTAAGGGGAGAATGAAGTGGTGATATTTACAAAAAAGCTAAAAAGGAAAAAAAAAAAAGAAAAACAGGGAAAAATAAATTAAAAAAAAAAAAAAAGCTTGTATGGGACAGAATAGGAATGCCAGTTAGATTTTTTAGAAAACTAAGGGTCGGCTTCTGCGCCTTAAAGCATATCAGTGGTAGTTAGCTCAGACCGTGCATTTTCAATATCTAACTTAACAGGCCATCCCTTAGCAGTGCAAGCTTCCTTCTCTCTTTTGTATGGTTGTCTTAAGTAACTGTGTAAATAAGTGTAGCCTGGAAAGTTACCGAGCGACATACATGATCACATTTTCCCTTGTACTCAGAAAATCCAGTGCCTCTAGACAGATTGTTTAAAAACAAATGAAAACAAAACAAAACAAAACAAAAAAAAACCCTGCATCTTTAAACCCGATCTTATTCTTTTACTTAACGTCAACTTCTCCTGAAGCCAGCAGCCTCTGAGAGTGGAGCTGTACATGTTCCGAGCGAGAATCTCCTTCAAGACTTCATGGGACAGGGTCCAGGCACAGAATTCCACATATGCCCTCCAGTTTACCAAGCCAAAATCTCGCTCACACTCCACCATCAAGAGATCTAAGCTTACTCACGCTGGAATACTAAATATTAACTCTCTATCTTATCTGGGCTCAAAAACCCAAACAAAGCAAACTCACAAAGCCAGGTAGGTATGCTGTTCCGGGCTCTCTAATCACACAGGGGTCTGTACCTGCAAGACCCCGAATGGTTGGAAAGTTATAAATTCAGTCAACAGGTAAAGTGCTTTGGAGTTCAGTGTGAAAGGAAACTGGGAGAGAGGAAGGGAAGGTTGAGGCTTCAAACTCATCTTTCTATGGGAAATTTTGCTTTCAACTGGGAAGTGTTCTTAAAGAATCCATAGCAAAGGTTCAGCCAGCAAGGCTCTGAGGGGGCGTGTTCCTGCTGACCTTCTTTGCCCTTCTGTTTCTGTATGTAGTTATAAATACTGTAGATTTCTTTTGTGATTTTTTTGCCAAAGTTGTTGTTTTATTTATACATTTTAATGTCTTAAGATGATTTTCGATCTCACACAGGAAAACAATTTTACTGCATATTTTGCAAAGAAATAAAAAGCGCACTACCTTTAGCTCGCACATACTTGCAAAGTTAATTCAAAGGCTTTCTGTTTGTTTGTTTTAATGGGGATTTTGTAAAATATCCATATAAATAATGTATTTATCTTTGGAATTTGTACATTGCTTTTCTCTCCTTCATCCCATACCCCACCCCCAGTTTATTTTTGTGTGTGTGTTTGCTTTGTGAACAGTGCGCGCGAATAGTTTGGTCACCTATGGTTGTATTAGCTGTTTCAATGTGATTTTTAAACAATTCATTTATAGGTATTTTTAGTATTGTTTTAAACCATGCTTCATTTTTTTTAATTTCCACCCAAAAGCCATTGTCTATTTTTGTATTATTTGTAAGTTAAGAAGTTTTTTCCAATATATGGCAAAAAAATAGTAGCATATTATTCTTGTAGTATTTAGTTCTGTAGATTTAAAAATAATGTATCCTTTGCTTTGGAAGCATACAAAAAATGCTGTTTTACTCTATTAATATGCATGGAATCTCTCCCTTTGGAGTGACGCATTTTGTGCATTAAATTTGGGGGAGAAACTTCATAGAGATCAATGAACATACTTTCTTTCTTAAGTCTGCTTGTATATTCTCTGTCTTTCACATAAATATAAACCAGCAGATTGGATGCCTTAACAATGCAAATCATATCCATTTCACCTGTACATTGTACTGTGCACCCCCCCAACTGTCAGCCATCACTAACATTCTAAGAAAAAAAAAAAGAAAAAGAAGAAAAAAAAAGAAATCGAAAAGCACAAAAGAACTGTTTTGTTACTTTAAGACAATGTTACTTTTTCTAGTAGAGCAAGTGAACATTAACAATGCTGCGACTGTGCATGCCCCGTATGGATTTCAATGGTTTTCACTAGACTGTCAGAGTGCGGATTTTTATGGGATGGGGCGGGCAGGGGAGGGAAGTTGGGAGGGGGTGCTGGTAGGGGAGGGGAGGGAGGAAAGCCGATTTTTCATGGTGAGAAATAATAATAATGACAACTGATGATGATAATAATAATAATAAAAAGAAACTGGAAAAAATATAAGCAAGGTTTAGCATTGCTTCTCCGTACTCAGAAAGGTTGTCTGAATTCGTGTGGTAAGCGCTGGCCTGAAGATGTCTAAGGTCTAAAGCCATATTTTGTCTGGTAAGCCAGACAACTGTCTGCAAAGGAACGAGCAGCGAGCTGGTGAGATGTCCGGCTCAGACCCTGACAAAAGACGCCACCAATCTGTTAGCCATGTGCCGTGGTGAGAACTTTACTGGAAAGCCCAAAGAGCCTTTAAAAAGAAAACGTGTATCGCTTGTGTTTTGTTGCTTCTGTTTGATGAGAGGATGGAGAAGTAGTCTGGTTTTAGGAACCACTTTCTTCTGCACAAAATCTTGTTTTCAAGTTCCTTTAAGATAACCCCCCTGACCCCCCTTAATACAGAATATGGCTTTTAAAAGAAGATGGAGTAGAGAATTCAATTCAGATTTCAGTTTTGGGGGAAGAGTCCTGCCTCTGGATGACTGGATATGCAGACGCCACGCCCGACCTCACCATGTAGGATGCAGCTCTGTGAACTCGCCATCTCTTAATCTTCAAATCTTTCACCTTCTTCTCAAACGTTTTCAATAGACACACACTGTACAGTCCAATTGTTAGAGCACTTAACTACTGTAGAGATTGTTATAATTTCTTTTTTCTTTTTTCTTTTTCTTTTCTTTTTCTTTCTTTTTTTTTTCTTCAAAAATTCAAGCTGTAAAAACTTTTCAACTTTCACAATATTTAATTAAAGTTACTTCCTGTCTGTGATGACAGTTCCTAGTGGCGTATTCATTTCTCTCTATGGCAGAGGAGAAGAACAACATTCAATGAACTGCAAAAGGCCTGGGTTTGCTATTATTCAGGCCAGTGTTAACACCCAGAGAAAATTAGCCTAGGCCTGGGGCACCCACTTCCTTTCTTTGTCAGTACCTCAGGGATCTGCTAATTTGGAATGCAAATTGAGCACGCACAGCGTACTGCTGCCCTCTGCTGGCCTGAGCCAGGTGTGCACGTGCATGTGCTGGCCCACAGAGGCAAGAGCCCCCAGTCCTATTACGGGTGAACAGTGAGATTCCCCCATGATAGGGCCTGGATTGGAAATCCAGGAACTGGTCATTCTAGAATATCCTCTGCACTGGAAGTCTGAGCTAAACTCTTCCCATACAACTGCTAATTAATCCCAGTGAGCCTTCTGGCCAATTAATTATGTGCCCTGGCTTACTGATGAGGCGTGTGTGACTAGAGAACCTATATATATATTTTTAAACTTTGTGTGGATAATTGGTTTTTTTCTTTTTCCTGGTGGACAAAATCACATCTGTCTGGAATCAAACATTACAGACACTCAGTAGGCACGCAAACTTCATAGGTACGCAGAAGACATATACCCATCTGGGACCAGGTCATTTACGTCCTGAGCATACATCCTTCCATTGTACTTTCCATGTCTTCGCTAATTTTGCAATGACTGGACACGATGAGGTTAATGATGCTTACAAAATGCCTCGATCAACAGAAACTCCACGGCTAGACCTAAGAGGGTGTCTCATAGCCACCAGCCCATACATTGGGAGGAGGCACTGCTACTGCACTGCTCTGAAATACAGACCAAGGTATGGCCATGAAAGACTACCTGTGTAAGCCAATGAGTACAGAAACTGCTGTCCTGTCTTCAACAGCGAATCCTGTCTGGTCAGTTTGGCCATCCCCTATTTTATTTTTTTTTAAATTCTGTATCAGTTGCAGAAGATAAAACTGAACAAAAGGTTCAGGATGTCTTCAGGATACACATGGATACAAGACAACCCACTTCCAAGTCACCCATGTCTATAATGCTTAAACTTCAAGAGGCAGACATCTGCCAGAGCTCCACAGAATAAAAACAGATAACCACACTCTGAATTATTGGCTTACCACTCCTTAAGGCCTACCTCTTGACAGCGTTCATTCATCCATTCATTCATTCATCCACTCATTCATTCGTTTCTTTAAACCCCAAGCATTTGCCATGCCTATGACTCTAGATGAGGAGTGGTGGATCCATTAGTAAGAACCCTGGCTTTGTTTCCACTCTTGGAGCTTACAATAGAAAAATTGACATAACCACCCCAACACACATAACATCTAACAAGGGTAAAGAAGTGCGAGTCAAGAATGTTTTGAAGGTATGACATCATGAGCTCTGATGTAATCTAAGGACTTTCTGGAAAAGTCTTCAAGAGAAAAAAGGAGTTGAGCTGAGGCAGAAAGAGTGAGCAGCTGAGGCAGAATGGCTGACAGCCAATGTGGTGATTGAGCTTGACATAGGATAAAGGGCATTCAAGAGCAGAAAGGTTGTGTGAGTGACATACCCAGATGCACACAGTGACTTTGTGGGGCACAGCAACTCCAATTCACAGCATATTCTGGGCACCTAGCATGGGTTTGATGTGTTAGATGCTAACGGGCCAATCAGCTGAAGGTCCTTCGTGCAGAGCCTCCAACAAACTCAAAAACTCACAGTCCCTGAGTGTTCACAAAGGCAATGCTGGATTTAAAAAGATGTCACAACTCCTAGGGGTTAGGCAGATAGGTAGAGATTGTGGCTAGCTACAGCCACCAGCAAACACATGCTTTATCTGAAGTGACCATATGGCCAGAGTTGCTCCTGACAATTTGCCCACACTAGAATGTATGGTTTTCACATCCTTTGATCACTTCAGGACTTTAAGACGTGTTGCTAGATTTTTTTTTCTCCCAGCTTTGGAGTTGATGATGTTTCATTTTATAAATGTTGGAATCCAGTCTAAAATCAATGATTCAAAAATATAAGTGTTAGTGGTTTGAGAGATGGCTCAGCACTTAAGAGTGCTGGCTACTCTTGTAGAGGACCCAGGTTTAGTTTCTAGCACGTACATGATGGATCATAACTGTATTTAGCAAAAGATCTAGTTCCCTCTTCTGGCCTTGTCTGGTACTGCATATATGGGGTGCCTATACATACATGCAAGTGACACTCATATATAAAAAATAAAAAATTATATTTTTGGGATTTCTGGCAAAAAGTCCAGGTTACTGAAGGTGTCACTTGAACAGTTCTCATAGTGTAATAGACAACCATGATCAATACCTTGAGATTTCACTATGAGAAAAGCCAAATATTGAAACCAACAGCAATAGGGGGTTTGGAAAGTGGGACGGTGTTCTTGTGGAAACCTGTTGGCTACAGGTATCAGTCACTGTTCAAGACACAAGCCCAAACTGAAAATCCTACTATGGACTCCTCTTGCTTTCCAGAAGACTCATCACAGAAAATGAATTCACTTTCACATAAAATTTCAAAGAAGTGAATTCTTTCCAACATGCTGTTTGAAATCCCCAAATGATTACCTTCACACTCTCCCACACCATCAATTGTTCATTCCTCAATGTGTTACATTCTGGCCAGCCCCCAAGACCCACCCAATTGCAGGGGGATAATCCAAACTTATTTGAACTCATTTTGCTTCTAATCTTGACCTGCCCGAGACCTTCTGCTCCCTCTCAGACAGATCTCTTTCCATGTCCTTCCATCATCTATGGCCTGCCATCTCTGCTCTACTTATATTTTTTTGTTGTCCATATCACAGCCCACCTTTATTATCCTCATAAACAGTGGGGAGACTTCTATATTGCACACACGGATCTTAGAGGTGTCATTGATGTGGCTCCAAGAATGAGCTAGAGGGGACAGTTTGGAAGCTGAGGAGCATCAGGAGCCCATTGTAGTGGTCCACTCAAGACATGAACAGCTTGCACTAGGGAGATAAAAGGAAGAAATAGATAGGACTAAGAGACATAAAAGAACCATCATGGTTTGGTGATTGATGTAAAGTAGAAGTTAAGTGAGAACAAAAAAAGTCAAAATAATAGTCATTTGTGTGTATTTCAGTGCTGGGAATGGAACCTGGGACCTCACACATCCTAGGCATGGCTTTTACCGTTGAGCTACAATGCCCAATTGAATACTCAAGCCTTTGATAGAGATAGAGACAAGTTCTCATTAAGAAAAGGTTGGTCTCTCTGGCTTATTTCCTTGCTGTGGAGCCAATGATTCAATTCTTCCTATGTCTTCAAATTCACTTTCTGGAACTAGAAATACTTTGTTTCCATTTTTTTTTCTTAAACCAAAGCACCAAGCAATTTTATCTCATTTTTCTGGAGATTTATGGTATGGTGGGACTCATTTTGATCTACTTAACATATCCCCACACACATACAAAACACACCCACCAAAGGTAGAAATTTCACATTTTATATTAAGAACAAAGGTTCTCAGCCCTGGAATCCACCCTAAGCCTGATCACTATGAACTTTCTGGAGGAAACATCTAGTGCTGAGATTGAGAATATAAAGAAAATTTCATGCTCTACAAAGATGCAGGTGAACTGTCAGTCAAAAGCCCTACTGTAGATGATCATTCAATGGCGTGGATTGCTCTGTGAAAGTCAGGAGTGATAAATGGCAATCAAGCAGTAGCCAGGCCCTTAGTAAAAGGTTTTACTTATGTGAT